GACCACATGTCAGGGGCGGAAAAATGGCCGCAGACCACGTGCCAGGGGCAGAAAAATGGCCGCAGACCACATGTCAGGGGCGGAAAAATGGCCGCAGACCACGTGTCAGGGGCAGAAAAATGGCCGCAGACCACATGTCAGGGGTGGAAAAATGGCCGCGGACCACGTGTCAGGAGCGGAAAAATGGCCGCAGACCGTGTCACGGAAGGGAAAATGGCCGCGTATCCTGCTCGTACCCCGAGGCAGAGTTCACAAACCGAGGTAAATTTTTGCAGCCGGAGCTGGTCGTAACCCGAAAAGTTCATTAACAGGCGTTCGTAACCCGAGGTACCACTGTATATTGAACAAGTGACTATTTCAAACCTAGAAATGTGGTCTTTTGTGATACTGCTGTTTTAGAATCTTTAATTAGGGGTACTGAGGGTTGCATCTGGGACTTGGTTAATGTAAAGCTTCTTAGTATTAACAGTGACTCACACTGTCCCCATCAAAATTGCTTTTAAGATGCTAAAATCGGGAAACAATTTGTAAGCAATAATTTTCAAGCAGTCGAACCCAATCCCAAGAACCATTGTTGTTCAAAAAATGCTACCTCTTTGCTTTCTAATAGTAGTTGATCCAATGATTCAAGCTGATGCTGTTTATATAAAATATCCTGCTGGAAAACGGACACTGTTTTCTCTTGTTCCAGAAATTGCTGGTTTTTAGTTTCTAGTTGAGACTGAAGCTATATAAGAAATATTTTTTTAATTGACTTATGCAATAATCTACATATACCTCCCCTATTCATCAATATTACAAGAATGCCCCCTCCCCAATATTTTATAGTGATCTGGAAGATAGATTATCATATTTTAACAGAAACAAATAAATAGACAGCAATAGAGCAGGATTAAGACTGGGGAAAGAAATAGCCAGAGATACACAGACTGAGAACTGAAAAAGCAGAGCATTTGCTATAGTTTCTGGACTACTGTGGGTTTTAAATGAACTTTGAGAAATCTGCAAAAATATGGTTACAATTATCTCACTCACTGTTGAACTCCAACCCCCTTTCATCACCAACCTTGTGTGGCAGCAGTGTTTTTCCCCAGTTGGAAAGAACACTGTAGTGATGTACTGACCACAAGTTTTGATATTTCAAAGCCTGCAGCTATACGTTCCAAACACTGCTATTTCTTATATAAGGGAATATTATACAGGAACAGCAGCATTAAAAAGCCAGTAATACATGAAGATATGAACTGTATTGTTGCTCTTTATCTATGTACGGAACAAGTCTTAGAATTGTTACTCCAATTATTTTTCCTGACTTTGGAGACCTAAGAGACATGCAAGAATTGAAAAGGAAGAGGAAAGCAGGTAACAGTAGTTGCTGGGTGGCAACAACTGCTCAAGTTACCCTGTGCCAGAGGCGGATTGTACATTTATGTAACATCCAACTACTTTCTCATGTGAACTGTGGGAACAATGTAACCCAGAAGAATGAACAAACACTTTCTAGTCTTTTTATATCATTAATAGATAGCATGTGTTCCTTGGAAGCCAGCTGTTGTTTGCCTGCTGAAAAGAGAATAGCATGGAAATTGCTCCTTGTGGCAAGGCACTTGTGGGGGGGAGGGGAACACTCTACAGTATGATATTCTATCAATTGGAATACTAGCCTATTCATTTCTCGAGGTCTGCAGCAGCAAGGTAAAAATAGATAAAGCCATGCAGTACTGCCTCCACAAAGAACTTATTGCATGAAATACAGTGGGGCAAAAAAGTATTTAGTCAGCCACCAATTGTGCAAGTTCTCCCACTTAAAAAGATGAGAGAGGCCTGTAATTTTCATCATAGGTATACCTC